GCTCTGATACCACTTGTTATAAACGCGCTGCTACGGATCGGGAAATCACCGGGATCGACAAAGCAAGAATACGAGAGCGAGAATCGAAAACACGACACACGATTTACGTGGTTCACTAACACGAGACCCCCGGTTACCAGTCGTAGCGGCTGATAATCCGATTCAAGTCATATCAACAACTGGAACTCGGATTTCTTGACTTGGAGACAAGATAAGAGCTTAGGATTAGCGATGACCACCCTAAGGTTATCACCACCATGGATTTACTTTCAAATTGGGGTTTCTTGGTCCATAAGCAACATCTCCTATAAATATGGTCACGACTAGATGGGTTTGACTCGGCGGAGGTTGGGCCCGTCATGTCACTGCTATGGGTTTTCCTTCTTCATATGGGATGATTTTGTTGGGCCCGATTGTGGATAAATATCATAAGAGGTTACAGGGGTGGAAAGGGCGCCATATCTCCTTTGGGGCCAGGCTGGTTCTGATTAAATCTACATTTTGCAGTCAACCTATCCATTATTTCTCCCTCCTTAAAGCTCCGAAGCTCGTGATTAATAGACTGAAGAAGACCCAAAGACATTTTCTGTGGAACGGGGTGGGTGATAGCTCTAAATTGCCATTGGTGAAATGGCATACTTGCAAGACGTCGAGGTCAAATGGAGGACTAGGTATTATTGACTTAGCTTGCTTTAACAGAGCTCTTCTTGCTAAATGGGTTTGGCGGTATGCAGTTGAGAGGAACGAGTGGTGGCGCAACCTTATTGAAATTAAATATCCAAATAATGTGTCCTCTAGGCAGCCAGGTCGATCAGGGGTGGTTTCTCCAAGTCGATATGGGCTAATGTATCTAAAGCAACTGATGATTTCTGGAAGTTTAGCTTTGGATCCCGGAGGAGGATCTGATGTATCTTTCTGGCATGACCATTGGCATCCTAGTATTGTGCTTACCTCCTCCTTCCCTCGAGTCGCGGCTGCTGCTTCTTACCCAGCTGCCAGGATTTCTGACGTCTTCAAGTATTTAGGTAAGGAAGTGGGGTGGGATTTTTCTTTAAACGTTTCTTTGAGAGGGGGAGCAGAGACGGAAAAGGTTGATCTTTTATCTTTGCTTAACTCTAGGGCAACCGAGAGAATCTCTAACGGTCTCTGTAGACTTGTGTGGCTTCCGAATCCGGAGTCCAGGTTTCCTCTGTATGTTATGTACAGGTTGATGGCAGATGATCTCTTCCAAGAGGAACCAAACTTCCCTCATGCTCTGATATGGAGACAGGTGATTCCCACCAAGGTTTGTTTCTTCCTTTGGGCGTTGTTTCATAGGAAGCTCAACACCTTGGACAAGTTGAAGAACAGAGGTTTAGCTTTGGCCAATCGTTGTGATCTTTGCAAAAATAAGGGAAAATCTGCTAATCATCTGCAGTGGCGGATCCAGGGCTGGGCCAACCCAGGCCCCGGCCCATCCCTCTTTCGGATCCAGAGTTAGTTCAGTGCTTATAAAAATTTTCGATTTAGGTATTTGGCTCAGTGCTATTTAAATCCTGTCTAGTTTTATTTGATGATAGGATTTTGTGTAACTAGGAAAATGGTTTAGATGAACATATCCAAACCATTACTTTAAATTTATACTAAATTTTCTATTACCCTAATGATTTTATTTGAAAAAAGACATGAAAACCTAAAAGTGTAAAGTTTCATTAAAATAAAAATAAAAACTCTAAACTAAAGCACACCCTTCCTTGCAAAATTCAAAAAATTTCTCAATCCCCCCAAAACAAAACAAGAACGAGGAGACGAGCAGACCCAAATGGATTTCTCCGCCAGCTCGTCGAGCTGGTTTTCTTTCCATTCTTTTTATTAAGAAAATATTTACAAACTTGCTGAGTCATCATTTAGATTGCCTCAATTGAGTGGGGCATTAGATTCTAACCGTTCTTTCTGGTGTTTTGATGAAGAAAATATTTACAAACTTGCTCAAGAGTTTAGCCTCGAGACTTTGAAGGCTATGAGATGCATTCTTTGGAAAATGCACTACTCATGTGAGAAAGATGAAGTTTCTTTTCTTGCAAAATTATTAGAGAAGCTGGAGGAAACAGGGATGGATACATAATACAAATTGATTTGTCGGTTGATTTGTCTAGTGTTGACCTAGCCGTTTCAACAACTACCATGGAGAAAATATTTTCAGCAATGGAACATGAACATTGATTTGTGCAACAAAATGAGCGATGGATTTCTCGTTGATTACTTAGCTATTTTCTTTGAAAAAGAGTATATTATCAGTATGGATGGAGATTATATTATCGATGAATTTGCTAAATTAAAAGACCTTCTTGTACAATTGGCATTGGAATGAAAACTATATTATTATATATTTTTATTTATGGTATCTAATATTCTACTCAAATACGACCCAGTGCTCTCTTATGTCCTGGATCCGCCGTTGATCATCTGTTTGTGGAGTGCTCGTTTGTTCGCGAAGTTTGGAGTAGGATCATCAAGGTTTGCGAACTAGTGGTGCAACCTTTGAGAGACATTCGCTATGTTATCCAACATTGGCCTGTTCGTGAACCCGGAAGCGTTGAATCTTGGTTCGTGTGTTGCATTCTTCATGCGGTTTGTTGGCATACTTGGCTTGAACGTAATCAATGGATCTTCAACGGCAACAGTACTTTGGCAATAATGGTGGCCCGCAAGATCGTCAGGGCTGCTTTGGAATGGATTTGCGCTCATGTGAAGGCTGATAAGAGATCTTGTATTCAATGGCTGAACGAGAATCTCATGAGGCTTTGATCTCTTTGCTCCAGCCTTTGTTGTCTCTTCTACTAAGCTTTGGGATTTGAGTGGCTTTGAGAGCATCTCGGACACCGGAGTTAGCATCTTGTTCTTGTTTTTCAGACTGTTGTTTCTGTCTTGGATTGTGCCTTTGGTGTGCGCAGTGTTTGAGGTTTTTGTTGCCCGAGCCTTCTGGGCTTTTGTTGAGGTCCTGGTTCCTATTGTTTTTTCGATTTTGGGGTTGCAGGAGTCTCCTGGCTGACTTAGCTCCCCACACTCTTTCTTTCGTTCTGTTTTTCTATTTTTCTTTGGTTGCCTTGCACCTCTCGTGTTGTTGTACGCTACCTTTGGTTTCCTTCTTCTAATGTTATTCTCGCCATTATTATTAACAACAACAAAAATTGAGGATGGAAGCATAGGGTACACAAGAATTTGTTTATGCGTAAATCTTTTGTGATCATGAAGTTGAGTCTCATCCTCGTTTTTTCGCATAATATACTCGATATAAGATGCTTTACTCTCGATTTTTCTTAGCCTTTACATCTTGTCCACCTTCAAAATGTTGGCATACAAAGCTTCAATGGGATATATCACAGTTCTCTAGAAGTATTGTTGCTGCAAAAAATGGAAGACTATTCTGGAATGCCTTGGTTAACAATATTTGGAGAGATACGTATTATGAAAAAGCATGGAGGAGATTACTGTCTTTTGGTCTTCATAAGTTGCTGCTCTATTTTCGGTCGTAAGCATAGTTAGTAAAATACGGTACGGAAAGTTACGTAAAAGATACGTACGGGCATTATACTTCATCTTTAAGCTAAAATTATGTTTAATAGTACGTTAATAGTCATAAATATATAAAATTAATCATTTTAAAAATAAATAAATATATATATATATATATAAAATAATAGTAAAGTTAACAATTTAATTCGTAAAATACGGATAATAAACGTGTTATACGGGTTTTATACGTGTTTAGTACGGGAACCATGAAATGAACGGGGGAAAATGAAACGGCTTGACAATAATACGGATACGGAAGTTTTAAACGGATAAAGTACGTACGGGTACATATACGTGTATTAAACGGAGTATTTACTAACTATGGTCGTAAGAATGTAGTAAGTAAAATTTAATATTATATTTATTTTTGGTGACAAGTGATGTTTGTCTTGTACTTGTTTATTTTGATACAACCATTCATAAAAATAAAAAATAAAATAAGAAATTTGATAATACTAGTTAGGCTTTCAGGTTGCGAGTGTTAGCTAATTTTAACCGGTTTTGACTACCACCTCATATTGAGTCGGATTGTGTCCTTCAACAAACCGGTTTGACAACCATGATTAGGAGTGAAAATCGATACGGTATCGGTATCCCAATACCAATACCGAATTACACCCGAAAGTCAATCTTAATTTCAATCCCTAAATAATTTCGGTATCCCAATCCGGAATCCCTAAATATTGTGGTATCACAATCGGGACTTCGGTATCCCAATCGGTATTATCGAATACGAAATTAATTCCATTTGAAATAAATAATTAAATATATAAATTAGATTTGATTGTTTAATTTAGGGTCAAGAGACTAAGCAAAGAGCCTTGAGTTTGCCTAAAGTTAGGATATGGATAAGGAGAATGAAGGAGAGGTGGCATCTCAAGTTCTTGTCATTCGTAATCTTTAATTTGACGAATTGAAGGTTGAGAGACGACTAATACTAGCGTTTGCTTTTTGATGTTATGAAAATAACAAGTTATTAGGTGAGAGATGAGAGTAACTTAAATTGGAAAGTCAAAATTGAGTTGGATGGGGACTTTTGAGTTGTGAAACAAAGATGAAATGATCTATGTATAATTAAATGACACTCTTGGTGGTAGAGAGCCGTGTAGTAGTGAATGAGAGAGTCTAGTTGAGAGGATAAAATACAACTAGTTTATATTTCGGTATTGATCGGTATTTTGGTATATATAACAATCTCAATCCCGTAATCGCTAATACCGAATTACAATTGAAATTCAATCTCAATTCCAAGAAATAATACGTAAATTCGATATATAGATAAATTCAGTACGATATTCGGTATATCCCAAATACCGATACCAAACTTCGATCGCGATCCATGATATTGAACCAAAGTGCAGCCCACCACTCGACACGAACCCCCCGCCCATCCGTACGCGCCGGCTGCTTCTTCTATCCACGCAGCGCAAGATAGCTCTTCTCTTCTCCCCACAGGTATCGTTCTCCACCGGATGCGCTCTGCTCCATCCTCTCCCTCCATTCCCCGCCATTTCCCGTTTGCTTTTTCTTCTTCTTCTCTATTTTGTCCTTCCTCCATTTTTAATTCCTTCCGAAAAATCCGAGTTCGTTACAGATCGTTGGATACAGTCTCCCCTACGTCGCCTTTTCGCCGGAGCTCGGTGGCAAGTGGATGCTTCTGGTTCAGAGAATGCATAATCCTCCGTGCTCTTTCTATGGCCTCCAGCTGAAACTCCGGTTCCTCGCCGAACATTGAAATTCGTTTACGCTCTTCTGTTTCCCGTTTACTCGATCGACTGAGATTTCTAGGGTTTTCGGAATGAACCGATCTTGGCAATTTTGACGAGCATTGAGCTGGTGTCTCTGATTCCGGACTTGAATCGCCGATTCTCAGTGGAGTGAGTGAGTGAGATCGCTGTCTGATTTTGCTTTGATAGGTTCTCGAAGAAATGTCGGAGGGGACGAGCCTGATTGAGTCGTCGGAGAACGGAACCGACGTGTCTCAAGAAGATACGGGCGCAATGAGGGAGGAGACGCACGACGACGATATGATACTGTCCTGCCAGACATCGGTGAATCTCGTGCCGTTCGTCGGCCAGCGATTCGTCTCTCAGGACGCCGCTTACGAGTTCTACTGCAGCTTCGCCAAGCAGTCCGGGTTCTCGATTCGCCGCCACCGCACCCGCGGCAAAGACGGCGTCGGCAGGGGAGTCACCCGGCGAGATTTCACCTGCCACCGCGGTGGTTATCCTCAGACGAAGCACTTGGAGGAGAGCGGCGGCGGCAGCGGAGGCGGAGGGAAGATGCAGCGCAACCGTAAGTCGCTGCGCTGCGGGTGCCAAGCCTATATGCGCGTTGTCAAACGGGCAGATTTCGACGTCCCTGAATGGCGAGTTACAGGTTTCAGCAATATCCACAATCACGAACTCTTGAAATCTAACGAGCTCTCTCTTCTTCCAGCTTACTGCGCCATATCTCCCGATGACAAGAGCAGGATTTGTATGTTTGCCAAAGCTGGGATGTCGGTTCGTCAGATGTTAAGGTTGTTGGAGCTGGAGAAAGGTGTGAAGCTTGGTTGTTTGCCGTTTACTGAAGTTGATGTGAGGAACCTTTTGCAGTCGTTCAGAAATGTGAACCGTGACAATGATGTTGTTGATCTTCTTGGCATGTGTAAGAGAATGAAGGATGAAGATCATAGCTTCAAATATGAGTTCAAGATAGATGGTAACAATAGGTTAGAGCATATAGCTTGGTCTTATCCTTCGTCGATCCAGTCGTACGAGGCGTTTGGAGATGCAGTAGTTTTCGATACTACTCACCGGGTGGAGGCTTATGACATGCTGCTTGGCATTTGGCTTGGTATAGACAATCATGGCATGATCAGTTTCTTCAGTTGTGTGCTTTTGCGTGATGAGAATGTGCAGTCCTTCTCTTGGGCATTAAAGGTAAGGAATGAGGATATCTTAGTTCTTAGGCTAGCTTTTCAATTGTATCATTTTCTTACGCTCATTATGTTGTTGCAGGCCTTTAGAAGCTTTACGAATGGAAAGGCTCCACAGACGATTTTGACAGACCAGAATGTGTGGTTGAAGGAAACTATTGCAATCGAGATGCCAGAGACCAGACATGCCTTCTGCATCTGGCACATCGTGGCAAAGTTCTCAGATTGGTTTTCTGTGTTATTAGGACCATGTTATGATGAATGGAAAGCTGAGTTTATTAGGCTCTTCAACCTTGAATTTGTGGAAGATTTTGAGGAAGGATGGAGGGAAATGGTCAGTAAGTATAGGCTTCACACAAATAAGCACATTTCCAGCCTGCATGCTCTGCGTATGTTTTGGGCTTTGCCCTTCTTGAGACATCACTTCTTTGCTGGATTGACAAGTACCTGCCAGTCAGAGTCGATCAATGCCTTCATTCAACGGTTTCTCAGTGCACAGGCTCAACTCGATCGCTTCGTAGAGAGGGTGTGTGTCATTTCTTATTCCATCTCTTTACGATTCTTTACTTAAACTGACTTAAACTAAGCCTGTCTAATGCTTCTTTGCAGGCATTTGATGTTGTCGCTTCTATTGATAAGCCGGACATGCATCGAAAGGTGCAGAAGGTTTTCCTCAAAACGGGTTCGCCAATAGAATCACATGCAGCTGCTGTTCTTACTCCATATGCTTTCCAAAAACTCCAAGATGAGCTTGTATTAGCTCCACAGTACGCATCTTTCCCACTTGACGAGTACTGTTTCCAAGTAAGGCATCACACTGAATTGAACGGTGGCTTCAAAGTGATCTTCGATCCTTGTCAAGAGCACATCAGCTGCAGCTGTAATCAGTTTGATTTCTCCGGGTTTCTCTGTAGGCATGTCCTACGTGTCCTGTCATCAAGTAACTGTTTTCACATACCAGATCAATACCTGCCAATTCGATGGCGTGTTAATGCTATGTCTTCAACAGTGCACTCCGAAAGGATTCATTATCTACAGTCGATGACCTCAGAACTTGTGGCCGAGTCAAGCGAGACAGAAGAGCGACTCGAAGTTGCTTGCGAACAGATTTCGTCAGTATTATCACGTATCAAGGAGCTTCCTCGCGGTGGGCATGAAGAAGAGAATGTTTATAGTTGTCCTTCTGATTCACTGATTATACCTGAAGTAGAAGATGCAGATGGAATCGTTCACACGTTTACGATTGGGACCCACCATCATGATTCTATTGCTCTGGGAAAGCTGAAGGAGAGAAGAGCTAGAGATGGGTTTGAACTATCCAGAAAGCGAAGGCATTGCTTGGAGCCTTGTTGTGGGCAGTTTGGACACGATGCATCAGAATGTCCAGTAATGGGTGGTGATCATCTGAATGGCAGAGAACTCGGTTACTTATAGTGGAGGATTCTTGAATTACTACTCTTGATTGTTCTTGTTGATTCTCACCTCCTAACTTTAAATTTTCAGGGGCACTCCCACCTTACCGAGTGAGTTTCTTTTTGATCCGAATAGTAGAGGTTTCTTCTTGCTGATTTGTCTTAAAGACTGATAGTGAAATTCTCTAATGTTTGGCCCCTTTCCCTCCATAGCAAAGTTCTTAAGGTGTAACTGAAATTTTGATGCTGAAATGTATATGGCCATTGAAGTATCTTAGCATCCTCATCTGAAGTACACATCCTTGAGATCTTGATGCTTTTATCTTTGTACTTCATATCATGACCTCTTGTTTTGCGGCAACAGAAATGTTTACAAAGCTACATTGCTACAGTATACCTTATCGGTCTGCTGAATCGTCTGCCAAGGATACCTTGCTTAGCCTACCTGGCAACGTCCTGGCAATATTGTTGGCAAATTTTCTCCCCTTCACCCTGTGATTATATGATCGAAAGAGCGCTCTCTGGGCAAGTGCTCTCTCAAAACCAGAGTTTCCTGTGCCTTTTGTGTTAGGTTTTTTGTCTGTTGCAAGACTTGCTTCTTTGTTGCTGGTGCAGGCCTCCTCCTGATCTCCAGCATAGCCTGTGTCGGAAGAAGACATTTTCTGTCAACCACAGAGAAGGTGGACTGAAGGTTATCGGGATTTGCTGATAAAAAGGTACTGCTCACTCTCTTGAGATTTATAGGTCTATGAGAATGGTTGTTATGAAACCAATAGGATAGAGTACCAGAAGGGGATATATGTTGGCCACGAGTGGGGGGCATAGACGGACAGGATACCCCATACTTATGGGGTGCATAGAGAATCAAAGCTTTGTGAAAATTCTTACTTCATAGAAAAGTTTCCCTTATCTTGTGTGTTACGCAACCGAAATATGCAGCTAGGGAATTATCTACCCAAGTGTTCTTGGACGAGATTGAAACTTGTTCCTTGGATGCCAAAATTCATCTATATCACAACTTTAAAAGAAGTATAAAAATTCAATTCTACGGTTTGCATAACTGTTAAATCACCATGAAAGGAACCATAGCATCCAGTGGGTAGTTGAACGTGACTAGCACAATCTTTTTTCTTCTTCTTTTCTATAGATTTTGTGCACAAGGGACACAGCATAATGGACAGGTGCCTGCGCGCGCACACACACACACACTAAGGTCAACCTTGTGCAGAAATGTCTATATGCACAGTTGTGACTTGTGAGAGCCTCCTAGATTTTTATACTTCTGAAGGTTCTGATCAGGTGGTACAAACCTAATCTGGATAGAAGGGATAGAACAGGGAGCCAGGGGGTCTGATCCCAGCTCAACCCTTTTGGGTTTCTCCTAAAACCAGATTGAAGTCGGTTTCCATTCTTCGATTTGATTCCGGTACCGATCCGATCTTCGGACTAGTCCAGACCATGCCTACCCTACCTCTGACTTTTTTTAAGTCTCAGAAACTGGGTAATGCTTTACTGTCCAAATCTGCTCTAGAGAAACTTCAAGATTGCATTTCCATTTTACTCCACATTGACTTACAAACTCCTCTAGCTTTTGGACTGTGGGATAGCATCAAGAATCATATTCTGCTGTATCAGTGCATCCATAGAATAATTTGCCGTCCGTTGTCTCACTTTTTGGCTTTTACTAACTACTGATATTATTGAGGATCCGTCCATTCCTGCAATTACTTTAATTCAAGCTTTGCGTTGCCCTCATGCATTAGTCCAAAAAGAATGATGACGATCAAGCATCTGATCATCCTTCCAGCCACCCTTTTTGCCGAGTCCTAATCCTGTCAAAATCGTGTGCTTTGAGCTTTACAGTCGGGGTTTGGGGTGGGATTAGGTACCAAAAATGCAACTTTAAACCAAAGATAATGGCGAAGGAATAACTGATTAAACGAACCTTTTAAGACAGAGAAGACATAAGAGGGATGAACTACAAGTTAGGTCAGTTACACGTGTCAGCCATTTAGCAGCCCACCCTGTTTCCCAGGCTATTGAGTATTGACTATAGTTTGTTATCTTCTTCATTTAACGGCCCAAGTACGTAATACAGTGTGAAAGGAAAACTTTTGTTTTTTTGCAGGTTTCTTCTGATAAAGCCCCCTGCGGCCTGCCTTCCCTGAGAGAAAGGAATCTGTGGACTTTAAGCAACCTTTGCTCCAAGCAATTCTGCAGTTCCCCCTCTTCCCTTGCCTTTTTTCCATGGATGGGTTTTGCATCTGTGGCCAAGTCCCCCTTCTTCCTCCTCTTCTTATGGAGCTTTGAGCTTTGAGTTGAAAACTGTTGCCAGCCATGGCTGAAGGAAGAAGAGCAGTCACCCATGAAGATCTCGCGCCGTCCCCAGGAAGCACGGATTTGGGCAGCAGAACTGCCATATCCCTCGTGCTCCTCACGGTCCTCTGTGGACTCCTCTGCTTCGCTCTCTGTCTCATTGCTGAAGCCTCCCGTTCTCAGGTTAAAAACCAGGATCCCCTTCTGAACAACCTAGTCTGGCTGCCGCCTCACACCATGATCGAGTTTTCGTCTCATTTCTTTCTGTGGCGGTGGTGGGTTTTTTTTTTGGTTTTGTGCGTGAACAGGATACATGGGATGATCACCTGTGCGTGTATAGTGGTAGTGGAGAGACGCCGTTGATGTGTGGTGCTATTGCGTTCATCGGACTCGCGGTAGCCATGGTAGTGGAGCACACTTACCTGTTGTTCGCAGCGAGCAAAGCCCCGCCGCCGGCTCTGCTCGCTTGGGACCCTACCTATGGCCCTTCCAAGGATGTTACATGGCAGGCTGGTGCCTTTTTCATCAGCACTTGGTATGTATATGTCCTACTTTTTACTTGTCTCAAATACCTGAGTTCTGCATCCAATTTGATTACACAGTTAAAACCTTTTAACCTGGATGTTCCTCCGCTCGATGCAGGGTATGCTTCGCGGTGGCGGAAATCCTGTTGCTGATCGGACTGAGCGTGGAATCGGGTCACCTGAAGAACTGGGCTACCCCAAAACAGAGCTGCCTGGTGATCAGGGAAGGAGTGTTTGCCGCGGCCGGAGTGTTCTCCCTCTTCACCGTGTTCCTCGCCGGCGGGCTGTACCTAACTGCATTTCGCGCGCAAAGAATATCCCAAGAGCACGAAGCCGCGCGGCGGCAGATAATAGACGTCTCGGTGCTCTACGCTTCCCCGCCGCGCTCGCCACCACGAGCGAGGGAGCATATCCAGGCGGCCGAGAGGGAAGACCCTGTTCGCAGGCAAGACCAGGCTGACCATCTCTCCGTCGCATTGCCGTCGGCTTTGATCAAGCAATTGAGTTTCGTATAGTAAATGAAATAAGAGAAGGAAAACAGTTTTCTTCTGTAACAAGAATGTTCAGCCATGTCACTTGTCAGGCAGAATAGGGCTACCTTACATAGAAATGCACATACCGATACTATGTACTGTACATATCATTTTGTTTTTGTTTTGTTTTTTGTTTTTTTTTTTTTTTTTTGTGCGGAAGGAAGGCTGCTTTTGCTTCTCGAGTTTGTCTGGTTGTGCCATATAACCAATACAATGGGGTAAATGTCACATTTGGTCATTTGGATTATTAAATCATTTGGATTATTAAATCGTGTTATGTTTAGTCACTAGAAAAAATTAATATCAATTTTGGTCACTCGAATTACTAAAACATGTCACATTTAGTCACTCTCCCGTTAACCACCGTCCAGCTCTGGTCACTCGAATTACTTATTTTTTTTTTATGAATGTCACTCGAATTACTGAAAATATGTCACATTTAGTCACTCTTCGTTATCCTCCGTCCGATTTCGCTAATGGAGTTGGACGGAAACTGACGAAAGAGTGACTAAATGTGACATATATCAGTAATTCGAGTGACCAAAATTGATATTAATTTTTTCTAGTGATTAAACATGACATGATTTAATAATCTCAGTGTCCAAATGTGCCATTTACCCCAATCCAACGTATCTAATTCCCAAAGTTGTATCCTTTTTGGTTAATTCACCAACGACCATTACTGAATCATCTCTCTTTTCTTCCTATTCGTGCTATATAGCGAATTGCATAAAGTACGCACAAACTTATACAAACGCCTTATTCAGAAATGTTTCATTTAAGTGACACGAACATAATATTTAATAATAAAAGAGACTTAATGGAGACCTGTAACGTGCATTGCTCGAAAACCCTTTAATTTTTCAATATTATTTGTTGCGAATTATTTTGATGTAAATAATCATTCAAGATTATTGGGATCAAAATAATTCGTTTGACAGCGAAAACATCAAATACAATAATTTGGCTTAGTTAATTGAATTAACAACCATGAATAGTTATTTGAAAGAAGAACTCATCAATTTTTGTTGTCTTTCCATATTCGATCCTTTCTCTTCTTCCCTTTTTCTCATCTCTTCCCTCTCCTTGTTCTCTTTATCTCAAGACCAAATTCTCCCATCATGTCACATGAAACAACATCAATAAGACTAACTCCAACCCATAAAGGGGAATTTAGCTCCCCAAATGACCAAATATGGCTTTTTAGCTCCCCAAATCCAATTTTCACTCCAACCCTATAAAAAATTAAATTTAGCTTCTCATTTCCCTTTTTCAATTTATTTCAATAAACCATACTTATTTGACCTCTAATTTTTATATTTCACTTTAATTTTTTCATAGCTCGTTATTAATTTTGAATACAAATTTTTCGATGTAATTTTTTTAAATTCTGAGATAATTTTTTTTCAAAAATTAGTTGTTAAAATATTACCGTTAAAACTTCGGGACCACTCAAAATATTACTGTCAAATTTATGTTTCAAATTGAATTACAAACAACCAATGAGAATAGAGAAAAAAAAACTCAAAAACAAATTCCCAAAACAACTTCCCAACCAAAAAAGTTAAAAGAAAAAAAAACAAAAAAGGGGGGCAGCAGGTCGCTTTTTGGCTGACGTGTAGGGCACTTTTTGGCAGCCAAATTCCCCTCCCCATCCCAAAACCCAGCCAAATATCCCTTCCAAAAACCCAATACCCATTTTTAGCTTCCCATTTTTTTGTGGGTTGGAGGAAGAAAAAAAGCCAAATATGGCTTTATAGCTTTTTGACACCATGGGTTGGAGCTAGTCTAATGTGCCATCGACGCTTCCCCTTTAAGATCCACACTCTCTTGCCTTTGCTCTCACTTCGCGTTACTGATGGAGAAGGAAGAAGAATACGACATTGAATCGCACTGGAGAATAATGTTTCTGTAGCTGATTGTTTTGTGGTAACAAATGATTGTTGATTATGAAATCATGTGGGGCAATATAATGTTTATTTAACGAAATATCACGTCATAATCAAATACATCACGTGAATGTTCTAATCATACAAGACGATTTGAGAGTAGATAAGCGTTAGCACTATGCGGACAATAATTAATAGTCGTATAATAATAACTATTGTATATAGTAACTGTTGGGTAGGTGACTCGGACCCAGCCGCGCCAGGAGAAAGCGCCGCCACCAAAGACACCCAGCGCGCCTCACTACGAAGAGTCCCGGCGCGGACCAACGCGAACAGTCCTTTCAGCGCGGCGCCTCGGCATTTCCCGGCGCGAAGCTCTTGGGCGCGCCACGCCTACGCGCACGCGGGAGGGTCAAAGCGTAGACCGGACTAAGGAGACGGTGAAAGCGTCGTCGCAATTCCCGAGGAGTAGTCACATCAAGGTCTCAAATACAACCCTACATAAGTCTCTGTCGTGTCCTAGGTAGGGGCATGGCCTAAATCCCCTATGTGTCAGTAGTCACATCATTGTACTCTCATGTAACCCAACCACTCACCCACCACCATGTAGCCTATAAATACGGCATTTACTACGGTGGGTGAGGGGATCGCATTTTTGGGCATTCTATCTCTACCAACATCAACTTCTCTCTCTAAAACACCAATTCTCTCAACCTTCCAGACCTTTGTTCGACGTCAGATAATTGATTTTCCATTGCTTACTCTCCTTGACCCACTTTCTTTCCCGAACCTCACTCCTACACTCAGTTAGGTTCAAACAATTGGCGCCCACCGTGGGGCCAAGCAGAGAAACAAAGGAAAGCAGAAACATGGCAGATCATAACCAAGATTCACCCGACGAAGCAACGCCTATCAAGGCAATGACCGACCCAAGAATGTTCACAGAAGCCAGCGGAGATGAGACAGCTGGTGGCGAAACAAAATAATGTCATAGCTGACATGCAGAAACAAATGAGCCAAGTCATAGCGCTCATGATGAGCAAGGAAGCCGCGACAGCAGTAGAAGCGGCGCCAAGCGCGCCACAACAGGCGCCGGGAGAAGCATCAGGAACTGCCCCGCCGCCACAACAATCGGCGCCGGACCCCCCTACGTGTGAAGCGCAACAAACCGAGTTGCCTGGAAGGGCGGACCTCAGCTTCCTAAAGCAGCATCTGTCCCCGCAATACCGGTCCAACCCACCCAAGAGGGCGCTCCATCAACCACTGAGCGCGGAAATCATGGCGGAACACCTGAGCGGAATGCCCCCCACCCTCCCAACATATAACGGAACGACTGATCCCGAAGACCACGTGAGCACCTTCTGCTTACGGATGCAACTCCAGACAAACTCCAACGCAGCGCTATGCAGAACCTTCCCATCTACATTCTCCGGTATATGCCTAGATTGGTACAACAGGCTCCCAAATGGTATTATCCGTTCGTTCGAAGAGTTCATACTCCTATTCACAACAAAGTTCGCATCCCAGAAAAGAAGGCCTCTCCACCTCAAAGCGCTAATAGATATCAGGAAAAAGGGCGGGGAAAGCCTACGAGCATTCTACGCCAGATGGTCGAGGGTGGCAATGGTTGTGCGCGATCTCACACCCGAAACCGCCGCTCACCACCTCATGGAAGCCACCACCAATATGGAGCTTAAGAGGGCATTGGCGAAAAGACCCGTCACACTATCGACCGAGCTGGAGATGAAGATTGAGAAGGCAATCACACTGGAAGAAATGCTCGGCGCGGGGTCTGTCAGACGCTTCGAACCAGCAAAGCCGCCCCAAGAAGAGCAGGGACGAAGGCAACTACCAGTGCCGCGGGAGCAATTGGCGCAGCTACACAGTGGTCCGAAGCGCCACCCCCACCCCCTCCGGAGCAAGCTCGCCGGGGACGATCACCTGACAGGTTTCCTTCAAACGCCTACACGCCACTCAACGAGTCAGTAAAGAACGTGTTTCACGTTCTCCGCGAGAAAGGCTACAAAATCAACTGGCCTGCGCCCCTAAAAGCTCCGCTACACATGCGTGACCCAAAAAAGCATTGCGACTTCCACAGAGAAACGGGCCACTGGACGGAGGATTGCAGGGAGCTGCGATACGAAATCGAAGGCCTCATTCGAAGAGGGTTACTCACGGAGTTTATCCGCGGAGCGGATGTCCAGCGCGAACGATCAGTAAACCCACCACCACCCCCGCAAGCTGACTACAACCAGGCTACTGGCGCATACGTGGTCCGCAAGGAAATAGGGGTGGTGACAGTAGAGGGAGATCGTCCGAAAAAGAAAACCAAACGCGAACGCGCACTGGAGTGCGCATCGGCAGACGCTCAAACAAGGTGCCAAATCAGTTTCGACGACACCAAATTGCCGCAAGGTATCCCGTCCGAAGATCCCCTCACTATCACCGCTCTCGTGGCTGCCTGCAAAATCCACCGGCTACTGATAGATGGGGGTAGCGCGGCAGATATCCTGTTCAAGAGTACGGTCGATCAAATGGACATTGATCCGCGCTTGATCAAGCGCGCCTACGGAAATTTGGTCGGATTCTCCGGAACGAGAGTCCCAGTGATTGGAGTAGTAACCCTCCCGGTCGTCATAGGAGACCAGGAACCACGCGTCTCAAAACAAGTCGAGTTCACCATAGTCGACTACAATTCGTCCCACAATGGTATCTTGGGTCGACCATTCCTAGCAAGGTTCATGGCTCTTTCATCCACGTGCCACCAGAAGCTGAAGTTCCCCACCAAAATGGGAACATGGGAGGCGCGTGGGACGCCATGGGGAGTTGTGAAACCAGAAGGTGAGGCCCGCCAGACCAACATTGTCGACACAAGACCAGAAGAACCCCGCCCGGAATCGATGGATTCCGATTTCGAGGTCGCGCTTGACCCAACCGAGCCGACCAGAAAAATACGCATCTCGACACACCTCCCCGGCGGCGCGATTGAGCCACTGATAGCATTGCTCAAGGAATACAAGGAGTTATTTGCCTGGTGCACAGAAGACATGCCGGGAGTGCCGAGGCACGTGGCACAGCATTGCCTCGCGGTCCCATCAAACGCACCCCCAAGACAACAGACGCGCAGGAGCTTCACTGGCGACAAATTGAAGGCCATCGAGGAAGAGGTGACGAGACTGCTGGCGGCAGGGCTGATCCGCCCGGTTAAATACCCCAAATGGTTGGCAAACGTAGTCTTGGTAAAAAAATCGTCAGGGGCCTGGCGAATGTGCGTCGATTATACAACAATCAACAAGGTGTGCCCGGGAGACCCTTACCCCTTGCCGCGCATAGACCAACTTATCGACGCCACCGCCGACCACGAGACATTATCTTTTTTTGATATGTTCTCAGGGTATCACCAGATCCC